TTTTTTTTTTGACTAAATCTTACTGCTTCATTATGATTAAATTTAGCAAGACGAAATATTTCTGGTGTAATTGGTGAAAATCCATATAAAGATAAAATCTGACAAAAACATTCAATTACTGGACGAACTTGTTGTGTAGAAGTTGATGACATTCTAGAGTAAGATATACATTCAATTAAATCATGTTTGATTATTGTTGTTTTTTTTTTTTTGAAATAAAATAAATATAAAAACAAAATTCCAAAGTCTTTGTCGTTTATTAATATATATATATATATATATGTATAGAATTTATGTGTGTGTGTGTGTATATTTAGTAAATAAAGAAGAAGAAGAATAAGAAGACAAGAAAAAAAAAGAATACAGAATAGTTTTTTGTTTCATACATATATCTCACTCTATTATTTACGTAGAAAAAGAAACACATAAACAAACATGGAATATCCGACTACCTAATCTAGGTAGCATAGAGACAACGAAATATTGAAATATACAGGATAAAGTGTAGTTTTGAAATTATTTGATCAAGTCGATTTATTTTTCCTATCTTTGATTAGTCGATGTGATAGTATTATTATTATTATTATTATTACTAGGGATTGTAGTCCATTGCTGTTGATGTCGACTTAAGATGAGATTCACAGAAGGACTGTTCGTAGTAGATTGTAAATCAGTTGAAGATGAATTTGATGAATGATTTGTATTATTTGATGGAGATAATGGTGTTGATAGAATTTTACGACTACGACGAGATGATACACGAGTAGGAAGTATTTCTACTTTAGGAGAATTTATTGATTGTTGTTGACGTGGAGATGAACGACTAGATAATATCAAAAAAATAATAAGATAATAATATAAAAATGAATTATTTTACTTGGTATTCGAAGGTCGACCACGTTTTCCTTTGGTAACTGGTGCTGGTGAAGATGATGGAGGTGGAGGAGCTGGTGGATCACAAGCTGAACATTGCCATGATCCATCTGGAATGGCTTCAAGACCGACACAATATGAATGATAACCACGATCACATCGATCACAGAACATCATATTAGCCTTAAAAAAAAATAAATATATATATTTCGTTTTGTGTCTATGATGAATTATTTAAGTGCAAAAGTTCCTATGATTAAACTATATTCAATTAATAGGATCTAGTAAATACCCTAGAGTGATTCGATTGAATTTTTAGTTGGTTATTTTCCTGTAGAGTCCTAGTTTTCAAGTGAAATTTTGTATGTTTTTTACAATAATCATGGCCAAGCGCTTATATTTTAAAAAATTCATATCTTAGAGAGACTTAATGAAAAAATTCTTGCCTTGAGGCCGACAAAGTTTCAGGTCAAAACTCAAAAATATAATTTCACTTGAAAACTAGGGCTCTACAGAAAAAAACCATTAAAAATTCAATATCTCAGTAACAAAAGCCCAACTATTCGAATCACTCTCAGGTATTGACTTACTCACTAGAACTTATCGATTGAATATCGTTCCAGCTCAAAATCAATTTATCACGTGAGTAGCTTTTTCTGGGATATTGTTTAAGATAAAAACACTCTCTACGAGTCTGTACTGTTTTATAGACTTACAATGTTTGTTTTTTTTTAGAACCGAACTGATTCCATCTATGGTGTTCGGCAAAATTCTGCTTGATATAGTGAACTCCATAATAATAGAAGACTTCGGATGCTGTATTATGTGTCTCATTTATTTTTACTTAGGGTTAACCAATAGTTCTAATCACGGTGTTTAAAGAACATTGTCGGAGAAGGTAATGTATTTAGAAAGGAAAAATTAAATATACCATGTTGTAGAGCTTTTTGAGGCGTATCGAATGGTATATAGTAAATCCTATTTTCATAAGACTTTGAAGAAACTAGAGTCAATTTACTGATAGACGACTACACACTCACACCGACAAGACGAACGGAGATGCTACTTATATGAGATTGTAACCCGTCAAAAACTCTACAAAATCGTTTGTGAGAAAAAATATTTTATAAATACTTGCGACTAACATCAAGGATCACAATATACAGTAACCTATCATGGTTGGGTGTGTAATCATCTATCAATAAATTGACTCTAGTTCCTTCAAATTCTTATGAAAATAGGATTTACTATATACCATTTGATGCGCCTCAAAAAGCTGTACAACATAGTACATTAGATTTTTCCTTTCTAAATAGATTACCTTATCCGACAAAGTCCTTTAAACACCGCGATCAGAACTTTTGGTCAATTATAAATATTATTTTTAATTGAAAAGGCTTTTCTGAGAAGCAAAAGGATTTGTGAAATAGACAAGCTTTAACGCAGGAAAATTTATCCAAAGTCATTTACCAACAGTAAGTATTTTGATAAGTTCCGTCGAGTCTATCTCAATTTCTATAGAGAACAAAAACTTCTAAAGTGAGTTCGAAAGTTCTTGAATCTATTGGTTTTGTTACTCTTACATCACATTGTAAAAAACTCATAACTTCTAGAAAAATTATCGAAGCAAAAAAAAATCGATACGCTTAGATAAATCAATATATCGATTTATCTCTCTTACTTCATCATGTGTCGTGTTACATTTTGCACAACTTTTACAATCAATACATTGCCATGGATATGTTTTAATTATAGTTAACATATCAGTATTAACATCAAGACATACTGGATGATAACGATGATGACAACTTGTACATGTAACTAATTCTTCATCATTTTCATCGTCACCTGTTTTACACATATGACATACTACATTTGAATGACTGTTCATTGAAATCGGTGTAGATGGTTTTGTTATACGAATTGATGATGGACCATTACTACTGATTCCATTGACTATAATTGGTGATTGTGGTGTTGAAGGATTTGAAATTGGTGGTAGTCGAGTTGTTGAGGTACTTTCATCTTCTTCATCACTTGATGTTCCCTATTATTTAAAAAAATAAATAATATTTATGTAGTTTCTCAAGGATCGATTTTTTCGCCCGGAAGAAAATGTGTTTTAATGTTGATTTTACTTTTGAATCCCGATAGAAGTTAGAAAGTTAGTCAGTAGATATTTTAGACTCATTAAAAAAAAATCTTTACCTGTTGAGAAAAACGTTCTGTATGAACAAGTGAAAGTGGTTTTGGATAATAATAAAGTGCTGTATTAATAGGCATATATTTAAGTTCTTCGGGTTTATATTTTATATATGAATCTTGATATTGTCCAGGTAAAAGTGCTAATGGATAAGAACCAATTTTAGTTAAATAAGATGGTAAACGAAATTGTCGATTAGATGGATAATGAATTTGCTAGCAAAACAAAAACATATTCAATAAGAAAGAAAAGATATGAAAAAAAACAAACCATAGTTTGAAGATCAAAACATGCTTTACGATCTTGAATTCGTTCACGTTGTAATTGTGTATTATATTCAACTGTTGAACGTAGTAATTCTTTTCGAATTGTATTAGATAATTTCTAATAAATTTTTATTAAAAAAATAAACATGTAAGAGAATTTTGCTAAAATAAAAATAGAAAATTAAACATACAGACGAACGATTTTTATCTCCATTATCAAGTGAATTTATTGATTGAGCAATGGACATTGATGATGATGAAGATAATTGATTAGAAATAGATGCAGATAAAAGAATGGGATTTGTACTATTATTATTAATTTTTGTATTATTTGTTGCTAAGAGTGTACGACGTTTTTGTTGCCATACATGATTGAATTGCTAGAATTATATAAAATTACAAAATGTTTTATTTTGTTTTTTTCTCTCCAATAGAAATATTCGTAATGAATTTATTGTCATAGAAAGATGATAATCAATAATAATGTACATTTAATGGAAGGCGAGAAATATCTGATTTGTTATCTATTTTATCAAATAACAACAAAATTATAGAGTGTAATGTCGTCATGTTCTTTATCCTACGCATTATTTCTGGAAACTTCGATTAGTTTTTTTTTTGTAACCGAAAGACAGAAACCAATATTCGGTCAAAGCGACCTTCAATGTAATATTAAGCAATTAGCTCAAATTCATATATTGATTTTAATAGTCAATGGAGTTTTTCTTAAAAAAAACACACTATCTAATCATTGTAGTTCATCTATGAAATACAATTATAAAAAAATACGTTGTTTATTACACTTTTTTCCACTACTATACACAAAAGAACTCTGTATTGAGCATTAAACGCGAATGCTATCCGATTACCTACGAAGGAAAGTTTCCCAATTGATTGATTACTTTTCAGTCGAGTCTAATGAGCTATGAACATTCCGAATAAAGTTCGTGCTCTTAATTTATTACTGCAGAGATATTGTAGTTCTTAACTCAATACTATGGCTCTACTTCAGAAAAATTCATTTTCAAATTTCGATTTGAAAGTTTCAAGTCGAAATTCAAAAATGAGTTTTCTTGAAGAAAGGCATAGAACTGAACAAACTAAAGGCCTCAATTCGTTCTCACTACATAGTTTTGACTGAAAAGTTACTAATCAGTTGAGAGACTTCCCTCGTAATAGATATTCTATTACGCTCAAATAGTGTTGTACTGCAACCATAGAGATTTAGGTAATCTGTTCATTCATTAACTATAAGCCACAGGCAATTTCCGTCTTCATTCATTTCCATCCTCAGTTGATTTTATATTCATTGATCTTAATCTTTGTAATTATGCTGCAGCTTGAGGTTATTATTACAAAAAAAAAATTCTTACATGACATTTTTCTGGATAATCAGCTGACATAAGTTCAAGTACTTCATCAAGTTTAAGTGCTGTTAAACCAAGATCACATTGTGCTTCAGTAACAACATTTTGTGATTTTAAATATTCTCTTTCATTTAAATCAACAATTCTTCGAGAAATATCTATATAATAAAACAAAAAAAAAAGAAACACATAACTAAAGTATAAATTCTATTTAAATAAACAAACCAGGATATTTTCTTTTAAATGATTTCAATGATAAATAATCACAAATTTGTTCTTGTAATACATGTAAATCAGCATGTGGTTCATTAATAGGCCATTGATAAATATGTAATTTATCAGCTGATAAATGTCGTCTATATATATAAGATTTTATTTACAATCAAAAGAAAATTTTCAAAATACAAACCCTAAACTTTGATCAATATCTGTTGTATTTCGTTTTTTTCGACTTTTCTTTGTTGGTGTATTTGTAATTATTGGAGAATCATTTGTTTCATCATCATTATCTCGTGTTAAACTTGGTGATCGACTTCGTTTAAGTGTTTTTGTTGTTGATGATGATTCTGTATGATTATGATTAACATGATTTAATGGATGAGGTAAAAGAACCACATCCGATGAAGCTGAAGGAGGGGAATGAACTGAACTACTCATCAATCAATCTAAAGAAAACAAAAAATTGAATACTTTAAAATTTCTTTTTTTTTTTTTTTATACATGTCCTTCAATAAAAACGGCACAGACCATAATCGTATCGCCATTTATGTCTTATATTTGCCTCGATAGAAATAAAAATAGAAATCAAAAGATATTATAAAGTTTTTTTTCATGATTATTATTTTAATTTTAATTTTAAAATATTTCTATAATTTAATTTATTTAATATAAAAAAAAATCAATGAATAGAGGGCGCTAGAAATAGTTTAAAGTTTAAATTAATTAATGATATGTTGTTCTTCTAACACTTGTTTATATTGAAATTGGAGAAGAAATATTGTTAAATAACTATTTTTGTTGACATACTTATAGCGGTTCTGCCCAGATTTTTTTAGTCAGGAGAACTGAGCTCTTCTCAACCATGGTCTGTTAAGATACTTTTGCAGAAAATACTCTACCGTCATCCACACACACGCACACAGTGTTTTTTCTGCACAATACAATTTCCATAAGAATGAATATTGTGTCGAATGGAGGTTTTAATGGGCTAAACTGGACCGAAGAAAATCAGCACAGTCCATGTTGTTTTTCTAAAAGAATGGCTTAACCATGAGTCACTTTTCTAATTGTATTGGATAGATTTTTAACACATGAATGAACAAGCACATTAATTGATGCATAAGCGAATGTTCGATAACATATTTGACAACTTGTAAAACCTTCAATTCTCTCGAATATTTTCTGATTTTTTAGTTAGAAAATCAAAAATTTTTCAACATAAAGATATATTTTTTCATTTTTAGTAACGGTATATGTCAATGACTACTGTTTCAAAAGAAATGTGATCCGCTTGAATATGTATGTTTTGTATATGATGATAAAGCCAGTATCAGTAGTGGAAGATAAAGTATTAACAAAAACTGATGATGTTTTTTGTAATTATTGATGAACGATGAGAGCTAGATAAGGACATTTTATTAAATATAAAGAAAGATTCTTTTTTAAATGACAACCCATGTGATAAAAACTGATGGTTTTGATCAATACCGCGATTTATCGCTAAAATGAAAACGTTATGGCCAATGTTTATTATTCGCGGAACAAATTTCTATGTTTGAATAAAGATCTCAAGCATGCAATGCAATGATGGTATTTTGTTTTTGTTACTTTTGAATTAAGAAAGAAAGATTTGTATGTTCAATATCTCCACTAATTTTTGGTTCAACAAATATCAGCGATTCTTTTCATTATTTGTCAATTGTATACAAACATATATGACTCTCTTTCACATGCATACAAGCAAAAAATAATTATCAATTAACACATGTTTCCCATTGATATACGTTTATAATAAACATAGTTCTAAGGACACATATTTGCATAGAGTAAGAGTTTTTCTCGTTGTCATTGTGATGCACGTTAAAATTGTGCGAATCTTAAATGTGAACAAGCATAATTTGAATATTATTTGTTTATGAATCATAAGAATTAATGAAAGAAGAGCAATCAAAATACCATAAGAAAATAAAATTTCTTTTTATTTTCCAGACATTTCGAATGAATATAATATAAATCAAAAGTTACCTTAACAAGATTGTGAATGATAATGTATTCATTTTTCTAGTCTCACTTGCACACCCTCAAGATAACACTGGTCTCACTGAGGAAAAAAACATGAATTTAGCGATACTCTAGTCTAATATGAATTCGAATGTAAATGAATTTACTTTTCTTGTTGTTTCGTTCACATTGTAATGATATTCATCACAAGCACAATGAAAAAAAAATCGAATTGATGATGCCTTTGTTTTTTTTTTGTTCTTGTCAGAAAGAGAAAAACAATCGTTTTGAAAGTATCAAAGAAAAGTAAAGAATGTATGAGACAAGGTATTCAACATAATGGTAATTAAGTCAATGTATAGATGAAAGGCAAACGAAAGTTAAACAGAATAACAATACAATAAATGACGCTGTTGGATTTTTTTTCTCTTTCGTTTCTGTTTAACAATCTCATTGGCAATTGAAACCAGGTGGAATTTGTCGTAGAGTGTCAATGAAAAACAAATATCCGCATGTGATGTCGTAGAAAAAAGCAGAAGGCAACGACTGTATACATAGAAGACGTGATTTCCATCTAGACAAAAAACAGCTATTCACCATTCTGCATTAACGACCAAGCAACATTTTATACTCAATATGAGTGAGCAAAAAACCAACCAAAATATTTTGACATCCAGTAGCGGCATCGTTGCACGTACAACTACATCATCAAATATCGTCCAACCAAGACGATGCATAGCTCAAAATTATTCGCTCATTTGGATCGATGGTACTATCGACAAATCAGAAGAAGATTGGCAAAAGAACCTCTCACAAGTACAAGGTATCATCAGTGATGTCAATATTTTTACACAACCAGATGAATGTATCCAATTTCTTAATACCATCAATCTGGAAAAGGTTTTTCTCATTGCTTCAGGATTTTTAGGTCATGATCTCGTGCCAGAAATCCATGATATGCCACAGATAGATGCTATTTACATCTTCTGTGGCAGCGAAGCACGACACAAAGCATGGACCAAAGAGTGGCCAAGGATTCAAAGTGTTTTCACCTCAATCGAGGATATGTGCAAGTCATTAAAAAAAGTCGCCCGCGAAAATGAACACAATGCAATATCGATGAGCTTTATTGCGAAAGAGACTCCGACAACAGCATCTTCCCAACAAAGTATTGACCAATTGGAACTAGCCTATATGTATTCGATGCAATTCAAAGAAATTATATTGGAAATCGATGAAGACGACGCTAAGTCTTTGAATGATCTGGTTATCTACTGCTGTAGCAAAGGTATCTCTAAATCCAAATTGAAGTATTTTCAGCAGGAATATCGCCAGAAATCGCCAATCTGGTGGTACACTGATGAAATTTTTCTCCACAGCATGTTGAATCAGGCTCTATGTTCACTTGATATGGAGGGCATGACTAAAATGGGCTTTTTCATTCGTAATCTTCATCAACAACTGGAACAGCTACACCGAGAACAATCGGGTGCGTATAAGAAACAATTCGTCGTTTATCGTGGTCAACGATTGTCCCAGCAGGACTTTGAGCATTTACTGGAAACGAAAGATGGATTCCTCTCGTTCAATAATTTCTTGTTGACTACTACAAAACAACAGGTAGCTATGGAATTTGTTCAACATGCACTACAAAAATATGAAGATTACATAGGCGTTCTCTTCGTTATGACGATAGATCCAAGTACAGTTTTGGCTTCGAGTACTCCGTTCGCACTTATCGATGAATACAGTGCTATTAAAGACGAAAAAGAAATCCTCTTCTCAATGCACACTGTCTTTTGTGTCGGCGAAATTAAACAGATGGTCAACAATAGTCGTCTGTGGAAAGTTCAATTGACTCTTACTGGCGACAATGATCCACAACTGGCTGTTCTCATCCATATCATACGAGAGGAGACTCAAGGATCTACTGGATGGCATCGATTGGGTCATCTAATGCTCAAAGTGGGTCACTTCAATCAAGCTGAAGAACTCTACAATGAACTGCTCAAAAACGCTTCCAATGACAGTGATAGAGCAGATATCTATCATATGCTTGGATATTTGAAAAACGCCCACGGACAATACAAAGGAGCAGCTTCATTTTATGAAAAGTCTCTGGAAATCAAGCGAAAAATTTTTCCAAAAGATCATCCTTCATTGACTTCTACCTACAACAACATCGGTCTTGTGTATAACAACATGGGTGACTACTTGAAAGCACTTGAATTTTACGACAAAGCACATAATATAAAAGAAAAAACGCTGCCTTCAAATCATCCGGATTTGGCTACTTCGTACAACAACATTGGCGGAGCATATAACGACATGGGTGACTATTTGAAAGCACTTGAATTTTACGACAAAGCACATAAAATCAGAGAAAATACGCTGCCTTCGAATCATCCCTTATTGGCTACTTCCTACAATAACATTGGTGGAGCGTATAATGATATGGGTGACTATTTGAAAGCACTTCAATTTTACGACCAAGCACTTAAAATCAGAGAAAAAACGCTGCCTCCAAATCATCTCTTATTGGCTACTTCGTACAATAATGTCGGTGGAGCATATAACGACATGGGTGACTATTCAAAAGCACTTGAATTTCATGACAAAGCACTTGAAATTAGAGAAAAAACGCTGCCTCCGAATCATCCCTCATTGGCTACTTCGTACAACAACATCGGCAATGCGTATTTTGGCATGAGTGACTACTCGAAAGCACTTTCATTTCTCGAAAGGTCACTTGTTATCTTACAAAAATCACTTCCGCCAACACATCCTCTAATTAAAACCGCGACAGATAACATTAACTCTGCGAAGAAGAAGATGTAAATTTGTTTTTTTTTCTTGCTTACCCAATAAATTCGTTCTCATTGCTATTCGCTTCTCTTTCCGGCTTTTCTAGGCTCATTATCGCATACGCACGTGATCAGGGAGACTTCCTGTGAGCCTAAAATGGGTACACGTACAGTGGACCACGGCGGACTGGTATGGTAATGAACGGAGATATGATGTAGAATACCGACGAGAGGGATCTACGAACATAGTAGGCCTTCCCTAGTACTACACTACTTTCGCCATAGCAGGCACAAGGAATTCACTTGGGTCATATTACGAAGTCATCTAACAGCTATGATATAATATGGTACCTTACACAACTACTACTGTACAATAACATTGCTATTCTCAAAGAAAAAGAACTTTTCTTTACTTTCATGTATTACGTTTAATACATGCATGTAATGTATTTAAGGAAAAAACTATTCCATTCAGAATAGTTGGCATGTCTACCTTATCGATAAAAATTATCCCTAGAAGTTCTATTGGCCAGTAGGACTTCTAAATTTTATATTCCTTTCCTCAATTTAAAAAAAAAAGAAATTAACTTAGCTTCCACTCTTCTATTACTATATTTCTTCTGAATAGAGAAAAAAATTGCAAGCAACATATCTTACCCACACCCACCCCTTGTTGTTAGAGGTGATACTTTATCTTTATTTTACTTCGAAAAAGTAAAATAAGGATAAAGTGCAACCCCTATTGATTCACTTTCATTTAAATTGACTTGAAGTCATCGAAATTAATATCTTTTATCTTTATAAAAATACCAAGACGACGAGTAGTTAGAAGTAGTAAATTTCCATTCTCTTTAATGATTATAATCTGTTTTCTAAAGATCAGCTAAAGTATATTGATTGTTTTGTTATAAACAATGATTTTGCACTCTGCATGGTCTGTTTAATCAGATTTAAGGTGAGACGCATCGGACAGATAATCATTAATCAATAAGCTCGAAAAATGAAGAAGATGACAAAAAGAAAGAATATAGTAGCGGGTGGCTTCGATCTATCATGACGCGTTCGCCATGTGGCACACTTAACTTAGATGTCAAAAGAAACTAAACAAAAGGAAACAATGAGATTCATGATTAATCTCATCATTTCTGACTTAGTTTCCCTTTTCTCATAATTAAAATCGTTGAACATCTAGTAAAAATCAATTATAATTTGAGAATTGTATTCCTTTATGATTGAATACAAAAAATGAAGAGTATATTATTTCAGAAGCAAAACGCACCACCCCAGTTGACACGACAGTGAAATTGAGGACAACATGGTATCTTGACAGTACAATCAGCACCTTTTGGAAGACAATCACCAGATGTAGGAGACTTCAATGACATAGCTTCCGTAGTGTTTATCATTAGGAATATTCCGACCAAGAATATAATTAAACATAGAAGAGTTTGACGTATCATTGTTGATATCATAAATACCAAGAGAAACTAAAGTGTAAAAACAGCCAGTAAGTCAATAAATTTTATAATTTGCTGTTTCACGACATCTGGATACATTCCCGCATTGACTTATATCCATATTGTATTAATAAAGGCAAATTGTATGTCTACTCAGAATGACACAAGAGATTTTTCAAAGATTTTTAATTTAGTTAATTGTTGATCTTTTTGACCTACATATTTTCAAGCCTATAATAATACAATCATTTTTTTGATGTGCAAAAAACGTACCTCAATCGATATTCGATGTATAATGAACGATTTTTTTTTCATCAAACAAATCGTGATGTTTTCGGAACTAATGAATCGACTGGTTTTTCGAAGATGAAAAGAAAAAGAGAAAAATTCTTTTAAGACAAATATTATAGAAGGGTGCAGGATGTGTTGGTGTCTTCCTCTATTCACTCACACCCACATCCACATCCGACATACTTGTCTTTAGCAGAAGGGTATTCCAAATTAATCTAGCCGTTTTTTGCTTTTCTCTTAATAATAATCAAAATTGATTCTTTGTGTTATCTTGAGTGAAGTCGAAAGAAAGAAAATTAGATATCTTTTCTTTTTTTGAAATTTGTTTAAAAAATTTAAGTGTCAAAAACTAATTTATACATTATAAGAAACTTGATATTTATAAAATGATGTGTATTAAAGAAAATTTTTAATGATAATACTGTCGGTTTTATTTCATTTTCTATTTGTCTCAATGAAGTGCGTTTTATGTTCTCTGAAAAGAGCACTACAAATATTTTAGTTGTACAAACTTTGATATTATTTATGAAAACAATATCCAATAGCAATTAATTAAGATTTCTAAGAGTGACTTATCTAGATGTTAAAAGAGAACCTAAACGAGTTCCAATGAAAATTCTCGGGTGATCTGTGTATATTCCATCTGAAGTTGTAGCTAGATTATGTTTTTCAAAAATGAAATCCTTTTTTTGAACAATTACATTCCAATTTTGTCTGAGGTGATTCAGTATTCACTTGTTTCTGTTTCGACTATATACATATAAAAATATTTGTAAATGAACATTAAGAAGACGAAATATTAATCCTCGTCTGGCAAAAATAATTAAACAAAGAAGTTTGTGAGATATATGAAAATGAATTTAACATGTTTTGTTTTCTATGATTGTCACACCATTCTTGTTTTGTATTATAGTTATTGACAATACTATAAAACATAATAATGATTTTATTGTCGATCATTTAAGTCTACAAACTAATAGCAAGAGAAATGAAGTTTTGATGTGTCGTTAAGTGACATTGGAATTCCATATTTGTGTAATTAAAAGTATGCTAATGAAACGTTGTTTTTATTTTACTTTATTTTAATCACATAAAAAAAACACACCTACCAAATGGTGAAGACAGAACAATCCAGATTGAGAAAAAAAAAAATAAGAAAAAGTTTATATTTAAAAGAGTGTTAGTTCTGTCATTGCATTTATCATTTATAAAATCGAATAATCAAGCAGTTGAAAAGAGATAATCATCAAGATCGCTTTTCTCTAGTTTAACTTCCAGATTCGACAAAAGGATTTTATATTATGAGCACATCAATTGATAATAAGCAATCTCGATGTATATAATTCATTCTTGAATCAACTGCTGTTAGTTATGATGTGATTGAAGTAGCAATAATATCCTGACTTATAATTCAGTGCACTTGGAAAGTGAAAACAATTATCAATATAAATTTTTGCTTGTTGTGTTGGTAATCGTTTACAAATATTAAATTACAAGTAACAATTAGAAATTATAAAAATCTACGATGAAAAGTAGTTTATCAATTTCCATTCATTAGCAAAAGTAAAATACACATCTTTTTGCATCGTATTTTTTTCCCCGAAAACGATTGAATCCTTGCAAGTTTGTAAGTTTCGAAATATTTTTATTGTTTAAAATTAAGTAAATTTTTCTATATCTATTTTTAATCCATAGCATATTATTTGAAAAGTTTTTTTTTTTTTTTTCAAAGAATATATTTTTCTAAATACTAAAAAGGTCTAGTTTAGTTTTAAAGATTATTCGAATCAACTTGAAAGACAAACAGAACATTGTGCTTCTTAAAATTGCTATCAGCGAGTTGATTTCATCATTCATGTATATGGTACGCAAGAATCAAGCATGTATTCAATAACATTACTTATCAAGTATGTGAAAACAAATATTATAAAAATATACACTGTAACATTATAAAAGCTACTCTTAAAAAATTAAGAGATTCGAAAGAGAGGAAAAGAAAGGTCGAGAAAATACAGAACTAAGTATAAAACATAATTATATAATGGCATATTACTAAAATGTTTCTGTCAAATTTAAACAAATGTGAATATGTTATTGATTTCATTCATTCTTACCATTTAGAAAATAATCATAACTAAAAAAGATGTAAACAATCGATTTTCTGTTATTATATCTTATAGATTTTGTGTATATTATGCATGATGAATACTATCTTTGTAATTGATACCAATACGAATAAAAAACGAAGACAAGCTGGTCGACGACGATCAATTGTACGAGAATTTGCTTTGAATACATCCATTCATGGTATTCCAGGTATTGCTCGTAGTCAAAGTATACATAATACAATTTTTTGGTGGATTTCTTTTACTATTTTCACTGGAATTACATTTTATTTTGTTACTCAAGAAATTCGTAGTTATTTCGAATATTCGACTCAAACATCAGTAAATATTGTTAGTGAATGGCCACAACATTTTCCAGCATTTACCATTTGTAATCTTGCTCCCGTTCGTTATGATCGTTTCATTAAACCATTTTTAAACTATACAACTATGCTTAATATTACTAATACAAATGATACGACTTCAATTTCGTTACTTCAAGCTAAATATATGAGTGATTTTTTTCAAATGAAAATAAATCGAAATGAATCTGTGAAAGAATTCTTTTTTCCACTCAGTACAATGCTTATGAAATGTGTATTTAATGGATATTCTTGTTCAGCAGTAAACTTTACTTCGTTTTCATCATCTTCATACGGTCGTTGTTATACATTTAATGCTAAATTGAAAAATATTAATCATGTACACGATAGTAATGAATATGGTGGACCTGGTCGTCTGAATCTACGTTTTTATGTTCATAGCCATCAGTATGTACCATATATAAGAGAAGGTCAGTATAGTCATTTTATGAAATACGATCTAAAAAGGAACGTTGAAGTATAGGGGTAAAAATTTAGACTCTCGACAGACGTTGATATACAGTCTGTGATCGTATATCAGTATAACATCTTGTTATAATATATGAACTATTTTCTTATTATATTTCTGGAGGATCAAGTAGAACAATTTCTCTGTAATTAGCAAGAGCAGCTATATCGTGTTCAACATTTTGATTTCGTATAGATTGCACTAACTGTTTGTTGAGTAGATTCTAATTGTTATTGTTATTCTATGAAAGGTGTCGGTATGATAGCGATGGTGCATGATAATGCACAATTACCTTTGATTGATTCTGCTGGTATGGCATTAGCAACTGGATTTAAACATAGAATTACATATACCAAAAAGATTGTCTCATATTTACGTTCTCCTTATTCGACATGTGATGAAAAAATACCTCCTATGATGCAAGCTATGTTTGATAATTATCAAGGCGCTGAATATGGATACTCAGAAGATATTTGTTATGAATTATGTACACAAGTATTTACGTAAATAAATATCTTTCTTTAATAAATAATTGATTGATTAAACTAATTTAGTCAATTGTAGATATCAACAATGTGGCTGTATCAATCCGATACAATGGAATACTCGTTTGATTTTTCTACCAGAGACTGAAGAAATAATTATGGCTCCTTTATGTAATACATCTGATAAATGTTACGTGGAAGCAGCTCATGTCTTTTTGACGTCGTCATCCTTGCTTGAGAAACATTGTTCATATTGTCCACAGCAATGTTCTGTTACAGACTTCAATATCAAATCTTCACTATGGAAATCACCACCAACATGGTTAATCGATGATATAAAAACATTTGTTGAAAATTCTGAAATTCCATTACCTATTGATTGGTCAACAAATTGGCGTTCTCATATTGATTCAAGTTATCTTTCAGTCGAATTAGTACATGAATCGAGTGTAGTTGAGAATTATACTCAAACAGCAACAATGAGTGCAGTCGATGTTCTATCCAATGTTGGTGGTCAAACAGGTCTTTGGATCGGTGTTAGTTTTTTGTCTATAATGGAACTAGCAGAAATGGTCTATCGACTTGTACGATACCAATACCATGCTATTCGAAGAACTCATAATAGAACTGAAGATGATAATAAAGTTTAAAATTTATTTTGCTTATTTTTGTTTTATTTCATATTGATTTTATAATAAGTATCATATTGAAAGAAAAAGAAAGAGAGATATAAAAGCTATAAATATAATTTAAATAAATCTCTAATTCAAATTTACTGTAATGAAAAACTTGTTGTCGAGTAAAATTAATCTTATATCATCTCTAGCTACTTACCAAAATAAAATCTAACTTTTTGCATAGATGACTTTAGTTGTAGTGTCCCGAGAAAGCTATTTGAAATCTGAAAAATTTCAAAAACAAGAAATATTTTCAAAATGAATTCAAACTCAAAGTTTTATACGTAATGTTTCTCTCATAATAGAACATATGAATCATGCCCTATAAATCAATGATAATCATATCTGAATATGTTAATGATATATTTTGTGATACAATGCTTGATATAACAGTATCTATTCGATGTATAATAGAAAATCTTGAAATTACAATATTCTCATGATAACAAGTAGTAGTATTTTAAATGATATTTGATAGAATCAAAAGTATCCGAATCAGATAAGTCATGCAATTAGTTGATTTATTTTTATTTTATACTTTTTTTTAATGGGATTCTTGATGCTTATCATGGCATGGATTAGTCAAGTTCAATTCACTGCTTTTTTTTTACACATATTTCTTCTTTATTTGCGATGGTGGGGGGTCTATATTGTTAAAAGAGAAAATAAAAACCTATTGAACCAAAGTTAATACTTTGATTGGGCGTGTGGGGATAAGGGTGTTAGTGTGATGAGTGCGGTTGTAAGTGTTGGTGTGAATGTAGATGACAATGTAAGTCTTCTCTGTTCACACGCTCTATCCTCCATTTCACATCCACATTCACCTCCATATCGATCTCTGTTTCAGCATTCTTTTGTCTTTCAAATATAGCAGAGCGGGCTCTTTTGTCTTGTTGAGACTTTCGGATAAAAAAGAAACTTGACAAAATAAAAAAAAAGGTTCTATCGTATCTTAAAGATAACTGAATACAAGCCATCATAAATAAATGTTCCAAGATTCAATCTTTCATTTTTTCGTTATGAAGCTCTTGTGCAACACTAAACTCATCCCCTTAAAATGTTTCTAGTAAGTTTTGATCATTATGCAAGTTAACTCGGCTTTCGCTTATATAATTCGAATCAATACATTATTATAAAATTTCTTGCAAATTGTTCAAGAATAAACGATGCAACTCAATATACCGACAACTCTTAACGATATTCAATATTCACAGATCAGATGACGATCGAATGTAGTGATTGTCCGTGGAATCATTATGCTATTTGCTTCAATGTTATTCATCTTGAGACGTATCCTTGTTATTCGATATATAAAATCTTGGCCATGGTATCAGTCTTTCAGTAAACCAGTCTTGTAGATTAATTTATCGAAGAATTAGAAGCATCGCTGCTTAGTTGGTGTTGATTGTTTTTTCACTCACTACTGTGTAGAAATGTTACCTTCTTCTTTCGTCTTTACTACCCTCAATGAGCTGCTTATTCATGTGAAAAGGCGTGTGACAACTTAACAGAGACTGAAGCGAGTCAAATCGAGTTGAGTAGCCGAGTATCGACTAAAAAAGCGAGGAGTGTAATGAGAGATATCGAAAGACGACGAACATCCACACTCTTTTTTTCTCTACTGGAAAGCAAGTAGGACATACGTTGCCCCACCGCTATCAAAAGATTAAGCAAGATTGAGTACCGTTATAGTAAATTGAAAAAAGATTCTTCAAATTCTATGTTAAATATGTTTTAGTATTAACTGTGAAATACTGCATGTCTCACCTTCGAACAAATACCTGGTGTGCAGCAATATAGATGGTACTTAGAAGCTACCTAATGAGATATGTAGACATATCGGTACTCATCATGATAGCTAGTTCATGTGTACACTCGTTAGCCTTCTTATTGTCCTTAAGATTAAAACAATCTCACTTGCATATTACTTATTGTTGATTCTAAATGTACAGCTTTTCTTGTAAAAAATCGTGTACAAGGAAATGATCCAATTTTAAGAAGGAAATAGTGGCATGCTATGTCATTTGTTGAATGACACTTTCATCGTCAGAATTTTCGTCTAAGTAACTTTGTCGAAAACGTTTTTTTCGAAGTTTTTTTGTAGAAAAGCATTTCGTCAAAAGTAAATTATTTTCCTCTTATCATTTATCTCACCGTCAGAAGACAAGTTTAAAAGTATCTCGTAATTAACTTTCTTCCTTTGGTGACGATAGAAGAATTTCAGGGCATCGTTGAATAGCATTTCATGTTTTTCGTCGAAAAGCACTTCAAGAAAAAGTTTGCAGACTCTCAAGGCTATTATGAACCCTTCAATTCTTCTACAGAACTATTAAGAGGTCCGCGAATTTTCTTCCACACTTAGGTTTACAGTATCCTTGCCTGGCTTTTATCCTCATCCTCACATTTGGAGTACCCCTTGCCTTCACCTTCATATTTGAAGTGCTCTCCATGACCAAGAAAAGACTTTCGACGAAAAATAGATACCTATCTGAGTTTGTTGATGAAGTGCTTTGTCAACGAAGTGTCGTGTGGATAAAAATTTTTCGACCAACAGTGGACACAAGGATTCAGTGTTTAATTTTCCTCCTTATCTTATTGGTACCGACTCTCTTTCTTTTATGCAGATAAAAGTAAATATCACTTTACATTGGTATTAAAAATAATATGTTGAAAAGAGTTAATAAAATGTGTCTGGTAAAGAAATACAAATATTGCATGAAAGTTGTTAAAAAATCAATCTATTGAACTTATGATTGACTCATCTAAGGCAGTGTCAATTAGTTCTTTCAATCTGGTCATATTGACTCTGATCGATGCATCTTGCCGAGTATCCAATGCTCCAGGAAAGTCGAAAACATAATCTTTTGCACTTCGCACTTGATAGTAAAGTTTACGAATATGTGGAAAATAATTCAAAAAAGCTCCGTCCATCGAAGCTGATTCTCCTACTCTATATCTCGCTCGCTGCGCATATGCTTTCTTATTGACATAGAAATCCATTATGATTGCGTGTGTGCCGTCAGATAAAAATGGTATTATTGTTGAGATACCACCACATGGTGTGATTAATATAGTCGTTTTGTGTAATTCATGCAGTTGTTGAGTAAATGTATATTCACTCCAATCAATAACATCAAGCTGTATCTGTGGATATGCCAATTTTATAAAATTTTTAACTTCAACAAGATTTGAAATTCCACGTAAACTACGACGCATTGCTCGAGTTTTGTTAACAAGTACAATACGATGACGTGATGGTAAATCGGATATATTGACACCATGATATTGTAGGATAGCAGTACGATAGTCATAGAAAAGTTTTTCTTTTCCATGTGTATATGGTTCATGGTCAATAGAAAATACCGGTTTAGCACCACCAGCTACAAGAGTTTGAAAACATACAAGTGGAGAAGAAAAATTATTTGTGTAATGATCAAGACTATCAACTTTTGCAGCAAACGCAGGAACTAGATTTTCATACATATGATGAAATTGGTCTCCGCTCTTTGGAAAATTTCGGTATTCAAGAAGAACAGCATTTCTATCATATTCATTTAATCTGATCATAGCAAAGTAAGTAGATGCTATGTCTTCCCAAATGATATGACCAGGATTAAAGGGAACATGCCAATGCATAAATAGAACATGAACATGTTGTAAATAAGGTACTTCATTAGCAGATGGTAACAATTCTTCAACAATTGTTGGTCCCCATGATCCATGCACAGTTGGTCGCGTTACAAGACTAACAAATCCATGATTATTTATATTAAAATCATATATATGACCTAGTTTAGGTTCAAATAAAACTGGCCTTTTAATTCCGCCTGGTTTACGATAAAACTGAAATATTTTTCTTGTTTTATTGTAACAAATATTATTGAATACACAAGTTCTTTGATGCCATTCAGATTCATAATTCATATTACCCGTACAAGTCCAAGCTGACTGAACATTCAAACGTCCCGATAAATTTGCTTCATGGATTTTTTCTTCACCTTGATGTAATGATACTTCATTTGAAAGTGTCGTATCATGAGAGCCATAAGGATGATGAGTTTCCAGTAAAACATGCAAATAATAAATAGTAAGTATCGTAATAGAACTACATAGAAGCCAAAGCAAAGTTTTTCTCGCTCGAAATTTCAGCGGTACCATTTCGTATTATATCTGTAATTTTTCCACGCTTAACACTAAACACAGATAATTGAGAAATAACTTGTTATGGTATTTTTCATCGATTTTCTGTCTTGCAAAAAAAAACCTGATAGTTAGACGAATTATGCGAAAGGAAGAATGAATAAAACGGCACTTTCCGTTGAAATATTTAATATATCTGAAAATAAAAACATTCGCATGGTATTCAACTTTTAGAAGGCGAGAGCACGACTATAGCTTCTTCAGGCTAATCTTTGTGTGTTTTTATCATTGTTTCAGACTAATTATTTTTCATTTCCGATTTAATCTAAAATTCGACTTAGTAATAAATTTCGAGTTATAGAAGTGCACAAGAGACATTGCAAAATCAACAAGGAGAAACCACCTGAATATATTTCGGCCATAATCTTACAGAAAATCTTTGATGCTTTCGTACTAGATCTTTGGCAGATCCAATAGGGGCCCTGCAAGAATTCACTGCTTTTTCCTGAGGAAACGACTAAATTCTGAAAGAAGCGTATAGTTCAGAAATTTCAAGATCATGGCAGGACTTGAAATAGGACTTCATCAATTGCCTGAGTCGTTTTTCTAATACATAGATTTAAAAATCAGGAATAGGTTCAGGAAACCATATGTTCTGACAGCAATCTGTAGTCACGAAATCCCAAAGACTTTAATAGAATGTAGAACCAGATCTTAGAAGGATCCAGAGCAGCTAGCTGCCCATTGTTTTTAGTTCAGGATGCTGCCAAGATTTCGATGATTTCTAATTGAAAAAGAAATGTCAGTCGACATCTGGGAGGACTTCACTAGATTTTCCGTAGCATATTATCAGATATTTGAAGGTGTGAATAAGGGTGTTGCTGTGCGCATAGATGTATGACTACGGTTGTGGGATAGAGTATGGGACTGCGCTTTCTTTTTAACAACGAACCAACCTACATACTACCACCCCTACAACTACATATGCTCATACCGGCACCAATTTCCATACCCAGCGGGAAACAGTGAACTCCAGATTTCAACGAGCTATTTGGCTGCGTTTAACTTCCGGAGATTTCACAGTACTAAAAGACTTATGAAGCCACGTGGAGTCTCGATGTCTTACACAGTTTTTCTGTCAGTCAAACATTGCATAGAAAGAAAAAAGTATGCTCCATCGACTGGAACATAATATTCACATTAAACTGTAAATATATGTACTATAAAAACAATATCATTATACTAGATTATCATAGTAGAGAAGAGGCAAATCACGTTGGACACAAAAACACTAAATTTATGAGAAAATCAAGCATTACATGATATAAATGATGAGTTTAATGTTCGCTGAAATTTTAAGTTCAATCTGTTTACTTTTTTCTATATAAGCAATCAAAATACTAATGGAATTTTTCTTATGGTTTTTTTTATCTATAACTATTGCAGTATTGTCTTTCTGTATATTTCTATATTTTATTTAAGTTTCATTATTTAGAATATCTAACAATTTTTGTCTTTGAGAAAAGTAAACCACTTTTAATTAAAAGTCATATTATCCTATTATTCATAAGATATGTTTGAAAATATTGTTTTATTTTTCATCGTTTATATTTTCTCGATCAGTTAATATTTTCTTAAGTAGCTACTTTTTTGTTGTGGGTTGTATGATGATTGAAGATGACTAAATCAGACCTTCAACATTTTTAGTGTGAACAAAGGCAAAGACAATACATTTAGAGGTGGATTACCAAGTTCTAATTGTGAAAAGTTGAAATTTATCGAAAAGAAATCTGATATTCGAAATCAACCTGAAAAACTATACCAGAAAATATGCTTTCGATCTTGACATTTTCTTTATGAGAATTTCACGATACTTCATTCTAGCCATTTATCCTTAAAATTTTTCTCCTATGATTCTCTTTGAATGAAATTTCAATGGAAGATATTTTATAATGAAATATTTTCTGATTTAGTTTTTCAAACTGACTAGGAATATCAGATTTGTTTTTGATAAATTTCAACTTTTCACAATCAGAAATTGATAATATCTCCTTTCAAACTATTTTGTATAGAAGTGATTCACCTCTAAATGTATTGTCTTTACCTTTGTTCACACTAAAAATGTTGAAGGTCTGATTTAGTCATCTTCAATCATCATACAACCCACAATAAAAAAGTAGTTACTTAAGAAAATATTAACTGATCGAGAAAATGTAAACGATGAAAAATAAAACAATATTTTCAAACATATCTTATGAATAATAGGATAATATGACTTCTAATTAAGAGTGCTTTACTTTTCTCAAAGACAAAAATTGTTAGATATTCTAGATGATGGAACTTAAATAAAATATAGAAATATACAGAAAGACAATACTGTTAATAAAAATTTCATTAGTATTTTGATTGTTCATATAGGAAAAAGTAAATAGATTGAACTTAAAATTTCAGCGAACACTAAGCTCATCATTTATATCATGGTAATGCTTGATTTTCTCAGTAGATAGTCTAAAATGTATTTGAGATTTTTGTTGATGAAGAAGCTGAAATCGATTTAATTAAACTGAGATGTCTTTTTTTTCTCTTGTACTTTCTGCATATGTCATCATTCGTATACCAATGTTATTTTAACTATTTGTGTTATCGACTGATAACGATATCGGAGCTGATGTTAAGTATATGAGGATGATTACTTGTGTTAAGGTTTTTTCGTGTCGACAATAAAGCGATGAATGATTGATGTCAAACAGTTTATCATTATCTTTAATCCCGTTTATTACTTGACATGGAATAGCAGCCTTCAAATGTCTATAATAGTTGGAAATTTGAAATTTTTCATGATTTTTTTTTCAATATGAATAATTTATCACCATAATAATTGATACTGGCGTTTAATGTATTGTTTAAACTCTTAAATGATATTGTTGACGGTCAATTAATGTAAAATCATTTAAAGTCAAATTTTCGTTAATATCATTATACCAAAGCTGTATAGAATTAGTTGTATATTTTTTTTATGATTAAGAAGTGTGCATTGAACTCTTGATGTTATTATGTCTTGTTGGTGTGACATTTGAAGACAATGTAATCGTTGACTGATTAACATTTGTTGTAGTTATTACAATTGTTTTTCAATTCTTCTTTCTTTTATCTTCATTATTTTTTATTCTGAATAGTTCAATTAAATAATCGATATAATCTTTGTCACGTACTTTAATAGTACATGATCCATCATCATTCTTAAATCCAATCTTGCTCTTAATGTTATCTAAATTGTTTGCTTGCTATATTCGTAATTCGGTATGGATGTGCGTCTTCAATTTAACCATATTTGCACGGACTACATCGAGCTAGTAGTGGAAATTTCAAACATAATCAATTGAGATTTATGATAATTGGAGAAATTTGTGGTTTATCAATGTCACTAGGATCGTCTTGAGTATTAAACATGAAAGAAATAGCAAAATTGGTAAAGAATAAAAATTTACTTAACTGTTTCATAGTTGTCTGATAAAATCAAATCAAAATTATCTTATTTATAAGATTATGTGTTTCGTACGATTGATGCGATAAGTTAGCGAAATCATATTTTGTTTTTTATAATTAGATTGGTTTGTTTTTGTCATTGCTTATTGACATAATATGTTGGTCGTGAAATAAAATTATGTAGTATCACTCACATAAACATACGACTCATCATAGAAGGCATGACTATGCTCACATGTTTATCATTTTTTCCTTCTTCATTGACGTCATTAATGATTAGATGCATTGGACGTATTTTGTTTGTATGTGTATAAGTAGATTCATTGTTTGTCTAAACAAACTGATCATAAGCAATATATTTAAATAATTTTTTTCTTTTAACCATATCTGATCAAACTTCTACTGGTGTCATTTTATCTTTCACCTGAATTAACAGCAAGTATATCAGTTTTTGTGGCAAACACGTGTACGAAAAGAAAATGTTATTTCTCACAGTCGAACATTAAAGTGATATTCTTATTGTTTATTGAATAAATAAAGATTATTTCTTTTTCTTCGATGTCGTTACTAATATTCTGTTTGTAAATCTAATGAATGGTTGTTCAAGAAGACAATATCAGCAACAGACTATTACTTCTGATATAATCATTTAACAGCCACGATCGAACCAGTAATGAAACTATCATAACGTACATGTGTAGTAGTAAAAAACTTGATAGTCTATAACGATCGACAAATTGTGATTGATTTAGTAGGAATGTTAAATTATATGAATTAAATAATGCTTTTGATTGTTCAAAATTTGTTTGATAGAATAGATGCGACCGTGTACCGACTTTTATTAACTCTATTGATGAATCAAAAGAATAATAGTAGTAAGCATAGTAAGACTCTCATGATTTAATTTAGTGTTAATTTATATTTGACCCACAATAGTGGAATTACCAGAAATAACATAATATCCACATGAAAATCGACGCAATTCAACAAATTGACATGTAATGAATAAAACCAATAATCAAGTTTGATATAATTCACTATGAATAATAGACCAACGAAATAGTTTGAAATGGTAGATTTTGAATGTTGTAAATAAGGTTGTTCTAAATCATCAAATAAATATAAAATATAAAAACATCAATATTAAACCCGGATAATAACATAATAAATGTGTCAAAATAAATGCAAAATAATTTGTATCATTATTATTATTGTTTGTTAATAAAAAAACCACTTATAACAGAAAAAATATTTCTAAACTATGAATAAATATGAATGAATTTGATTGAACCATTTCTTAGCTGGATACATTGGTGTAAATAGAATGAATAATTGAGAGATGTGAGGATCGGCAATAGATAAACTCGTTAGTGCTCTTAAACCATCAATAGTTGGAAATGAATTTGATTTAAATAATGATTGAAAATCTTGTTTTGGTTGAAATATTGACATTTTAAAACATATATCGTTTTTAAAAGTCTTTTTATTTTCAATTCAAATATAATCACATATTTGAGTAATTTAAAATGCTA